CGTTACTGTAGTTATTTTTAAAATAACTTTTTAAGTTAATCATGCGTCTTACACCTAAACACAAGGCATGCATCATCAAATGACAGTTTTGTCATATATGGCTTTAATACATAGCTTTCGATATTTATCATTTTCATTTTTGTTTTCTCACCAGACCTCATTGTATCTCTCATAATTACTGTTTTTAAAATAGTCTCCTTCACATATTTTTTCCATTCTTTCAATTGAAAAACAAATAACAAATTACGCTATTTGAAAGCACATTTAATAATGAGGTACATATGTCATTTCTTACCTTCATGGGCGAAAAGGGCGGGAGGTAAATGTGCTTAGCAGTTAGTTTCGGTGCAAGCTTGACAGGTAAACTGCTGTCAGCATGGTAAAATGTTCTGACATCTCCCCAGGAGGCTACCTATAAGTACAGTTAATATTGAGATCGAAATATTGTTTTAATTAGCCAAATAAATTTATATGTAATCAGACAGTCGGATATTGCTAGAAATTATAGTTGACATAATTATCGTTAAGTACTTTTAATAATGTATGTGTATATATATATATATATATATATATATACACATATATATGTATATATACTATTAATTACATACCATCGTAGATTATTATTGAGCTTGATAACGCAAAACAACAATGTAACTTAAATATTACAATATAACTGTATTAGTAAAATATTATTAATTTACTATAAAAATTAGAACATGCTGTAACTGGTAACATTATTCCATGCTTAATTTCTATAACAAATAAATCATTCCTCAACACGTAGTACCATTACACAATTGAACAACGGTGCAACTACAAATTGTAAATATAAATGTTAGTCAAAATGAGAAATTATTTAAATCACTTTATAATTTCAAGAACCTCGTTGTCACCGAAAACCACATCGTTTTTCTTCAGAGTGTTTTGTATGTTTTTCAAAGAGTGGGTGGGTCGAACAAAGCATATATTTTTGCCCCATCACACTGAAAAATAGTTCATATGCGCTTTATTATTTAGACCTATCAAAATGGAACACTCGTGTAAACAATAACATTCATACTGTAGTATTCCTTATACATTAATAGCCAGTTTTCAAAGGGAAGCGCGCGCAGGGCCCGAAGCCCAGGCGCGTCGCTACGGAGCAACACTCATCTCCAAGCGTCTCGAATAACTAAATGAAG